TAAGAATGTTGTTTATTGGTCCAGTGGTGAGGATTTTTGTTTTCTTTACATTGAGATGCAATCCATCCCAAAGGCTATGGGCTTTGATCTTCATCAGTATTTTAAGTCCTCTTCACCTCAGCAAGCAAGGCTGTATGTACATCTGCATATTACAGGTTGTTAAGAGTCTTCCTCCAATCCCGATGCCATGTTTTTCTTCGTATAACTCAGCTTCTCTGATTATTTTGCTGAGCATACAGGCTGAATAAGCATGGTGAAAGAATACAACCTGTTGTTACACACCTAATTCTAAACCATTCAGTGTTCCCATGTTGTGTTCAAACAACTGCCTCTCGGTCTACGTACAGGTGCCTCATGAGCACAATTAAGTGTTCTGGAATACTCATACTTAACAATGTTGTCCATAGCTTGTCATGATCCACACAATTGAAGGCCTTTACGTAGTCAATAAAGCACAAGTAAACATCTTTCTGGTATTCTCTGCTTCCTGCCAAGATACATCTAACATCAGCAATGATATCCCTTGTTCCACACCCTCTTATGAATTCAGCTTGAACCTCTGGAAGTTCTCTGTCAATATATACTTGCAGCCGTTTCTGTATTACCTTTAGTAGAACTTTATTTGCGTGGTATATCAAAGATATTGTCCAATGATTTCCGCATTCTGTTGAGTCAACTCTCTTTGGAATGAGCACAAATATACTTTTCCAATCAGTTGGCCATATAATTGTCTTCCAAATTTCTTGGCATAGGTGAGTGCCTCCTGTGCTGCCTCACTTTCTTGAAAGATATCAATTTTTATTGCATCAATTCCTGGTGCCTTGTACTTTGCCAATTCCTTCAATGCTCCTTGGACTTCTTTCTTCAGTATCACTGGCTCTTGATCACATGCTATACCTCTTGAAATGGTTGAGCATCAACCATTTCCTTTTGGTACAGTGACTGTATTCTTTCCATCTTCTTTTGATGCTTTCTGCATCATTCAATAATGTGCCCAGAGATTCCATCAATAGCCAAAGTCGAGCCTTGAATTTTTTTCTTCAGTTCCCTCAGCTTGAGAAATGCTGAGCGTGTTCTTCCCTTTTGGTTTTCTATCTCCAGATCTTTGCACATTTCATTGTAATATTTGACTCTGTCTTCTCAAACTGACCTTTGAAATTTTCTGTTCAGCTCTTGGACCTCCTCATTTCTTCCATTTGCTTTAGCATCTCTACATTGTAGAGCAAGTTTCAGAGTTTCTTGACACCTGAAACGATTATCCTGAGATATTCTTTAAATCTTAAGCCAAAAATATCCCCTGAAGTCTTCTTGAAACCAAACAATAGTTAGGCTGATTTAATCAGTAAGTCTGCAATGAGCATTAGACTCTTTTAAAAACTATTTATATGGGATCAAAGTAACCAAAGCACCTAAAACATTACGTAAGAACCTTAGAAAGCATTGAGTTGATGTTAATGAGGGAGGAATAATGCAAAAATGGAGGATAACAGTTGCACAACTTCAAGAGTTTAATCGATCGATGCCACTAAATTCTATAGGTAGAAACTGTTGAATTGGTGTATGTTTTGTGGTATATATTTTCAACAACAAAATTAAATTGAAAGGGAAAAAATGGACGTTATTCACAACCTGGTGCATGGGGCTTGGTTTAAGACGTAAGATTATGACTAAGTGTTATATGAGACAAATTTTGTTCCACTAGAGGGATCACAGAATCAGAAGCATTAATAGTAAATTAGTTGGGATTTTTAAATGAAGTCTGTCTCCACACTAATGATTACTTCAGCATCTTCACAGAGAATTTTAATTTTTGCTCAACTCTTTTTTTTTTTCAACTCTTACTTTTTAATATACTCAAAATATTCACAAAGAAAACAGCAATCTTTTTAATTATATGCAAATTTAAAAACAAAAGCACACTTTAAAAACAAAAGACACGACATACAGAATGAGGGGGGTTTCTTCCCATTTGGACACCCTGTGAAGTGATACACATATTCCAATGATGCAAACAACACTCAAGACTCTTCTACTTAAAATCATCAGAGCTACACTAGAAAAGCAGTCTCATGATATGATAAACCCAATTTGGCTCCAAAAGGTTTCCCGGGATTTAGTCTCGAATGAATGGACTGTTTCAGAAACTGTGAAACGTCTTCAGAGATTAAAAATTTTGGTTTATGAGGGATATTCGAGAGCTATTCAAAAGAATGGGTTACTGGTTCTGAAGGTCATTCTAAAAAAAATATGTTTGAAGCATTATCCACATCAATGGAGAGAGTTTCTAGAATTCCATGGAAACTACCTTTGAAGGTAACAATGCTCTTTTGAATGCATCAATTCTGGCACTCATAAAAAAAAAAATCAAAATGCTTTACAGTCACCTTCAAAGGCAAAAGAGTTGCCACACTGTGAGCCAGAGATCATCAGCTCAGGCTGCACAGCAGTCACCACATGCTGGACACTCCCCAGTCCTCGCATCTTGAGTGCCTTGTGGCAGAAAAGCTGCACTGTCACTGGCAAGATCCAGGGCAATGTGTGATACGATGATTTCGTAGCTGAAGCTTCAGCAGTTTTCGAGCTGGTGAGGGATGTAATTGTTGCACGCTTCTCTTACCTTCAGAGGGAGAAAGCCAAAAAATAAAATTTCAGTTGAATTCATGTAATATTTACTGAAAACTTTCTGTGTCAGACACTTAAGTGCCCTACAATGGCAAATCAGACTCTCTGTCCTCAAGGAGATGGCTGCTTGGTAGCAAAGCCAGTCATAATGACGAGTATAATAAATAGACTGTTCAAATAAGAAAATTAAGGTGTACAAAGCAAATTAATTTAGGACTGCATGAAATCAGGAAGAGCTACAAAGAAGCAATGTCATCTTGAGTTGATCCTTAAAAGAATAAGGAAGAAAAAGGCAACGGGTGTTTCTTAAATTGGGATTGACCAGAACAGTAACAGGTTCAAGAATTTAATTCTCAGCCCAGTGTACCTCTCTAAGTACCTACAACATACTAGTGAGAGTGGGGGAAGGTAAGGAAATTGTTACCCCCTGGGACCATATGCTTTCAAGGTCAGTTTATGTCTGAAGGGCTGGCTACTAGATGCAACAGCGCTATGCTTAACATTCCCTCAAGAGGTATGCTTACCAAGCTGTGCTGACACCTTCCCAAGACACTGGGTGCTGTCATCCATAAAGGTACTCAGCTGCTTCACTGATCCTTGCAGTTCATCCATCTGCAAACACAGCTGTGAGCTACAAGGGGCCATTGGCTTTTTTTGATGATCTTCACACATACAAGGTAGGCTCCTGTCCCAAGAGCTTTGTGTCTGCTGTTCTTTTGAATTGTTGGCTCCTCCAAATCCACACTCCACTCTTCTCCATCTCCAGATCTATACCCACATCCACATGACCTCTAAGAACAGGACCTCATGTCCTCTTACTTCTGGTTGGGTTTTGTCAAGAAGCCCAAATGGGAAGGAGCTGAACAAGGTCAGGGAATTTATTACCCAGGACTGCTTCTAGAAGTGTCATCTTGAATTGGCTATGCCCCCCAGTTGGAGGTCATGACTCTCTCAAAGAAGCAAACCATGTGATTTTCTTTCCAGGTGCCACAGTCATTGCTCTTTGTGTTGTTTCTTTGGGTCTAGAGGCAGGAATAGCTCAGCTGCCTCTAAACTGCAAATTACTTCACAAATTTTACGGTTTCACAACACCCACACATTTATACATTAAAAAAAAAAAAGTTATCGTAGAGTTGGTTTTAACTCACAGTGACCCCACATGGAGTATAAGTGTAATGCGTTGGGGTTTCATGACTGCGCAATTTCAGAAGCAGAAAAGCAGGCATATCTTTGAGGTGCCTGTGGGCAGATTTGATCACCAACCTTTCAGTTACTAAGAACTTAACACTGGTGTAACACAGGACACATCCTTATTATTTTGTCCCTTATAAATAAACTCTCTTTGAGTTAGTCTATTTCAAGTGTTATCTGGTTTTTCTTCTTAAGTGTTGCCAAGTTGGTTCTGACTTACAGCGATGCTGTATAGGGTTTACAAGGAATGGCTAGTGGGTTTGAACTGCCAACCTTGCAGTTAGCAGTCCGGTGCTTATTCTACAGTGCCACACCAGGACTCCAATGCTATTCCCCCAAATTTCCTTGGCTTACCCCCACATTTCTTCCAAGTCTCTGCTAAATGTCACCTTAGAGAGGCCTTCAATAATCAGTCTATATAAAATAGTAACCTGACGCCCTATGTGTACTCTCTCTGTCCCTTGCTTTATTAGCATTTACTACCATGTTTACTTGTACTTTTTATTGTCTTCAGATTTCCCCAGGTGAAGTTCAATATAGTTACCTTCTCACACGTAATTCTCCAGGTCCTTTAAATTTTCAAGGATGACAAGGCAGCAAAGCGAAATAAACAAATAAGCATAAGCCAACTCACCACCAACTCCATGCAATCTAAGACCTTGCCTTGGTTCTGTAATATTTTCTGATAGTTGGGTTTTGTATTCAGAACTTTATTCTGAGAAGACCCAAGATATGCTGTAGGTTCCACTTCTACTTCAGTAACTTTGCTTTCAGTTGACTTTCTAAAAAATACAACAAAGAGCTATCAAGAAATTTATACTCATTTTTTGGAAAAGCAGACCAAAGACTACCTTAGCCAAAACCTCTCATGATTTTATTAACTTGAATCCATATTCTTTCATTCTACAACAGGTACAGATATAGGTTCTCTTATTAACAAGTGTTTCTGAAATGATTATCCAGTATTAATGTTTTATACCACTGGACCCAAGGAAATCCTGGTCAGTAGATATTCAGGCTAGATGACAAAATGGACTGTTAGGAGTAAAAGGAAGCCAGGGCTTGGTATCTTGAAGTCAGTGTCTATAATCTTTAAACAAAAACCAGTAAAACTGGCTAACACCATATTCAATGGTGAAAGATTAAGGGCTTTCTCCCTAAGACAAGGAAGCCTACTCTCACCAGAACTATTAACTATTGTACCGGAAGTCCTAGCCAGCCAACTTAGAAGAAAAAGAAACAAAAGATATCCAAACTGGGGAAGAAGTAAAACTATCCCTTTTCACAAATTTGACATGATGCTATATAAAGAATAGTCCAAAAAACTCACAAGAAAGCTACTAGAGCTAATAAATGAATTCAGTGAAGCTGCAGAATAGGACATCAACATGCAAAACTCAGCTGGGTTTCTATACACCAGCAATGAGCAATCTCAAAAGGAAACTAAGAAAAGAGTCCCATTTATAACAGAATCTAAAAGAATAAAATATCTAGGAATAAATTTAACAAGGGAGGCAAAAGACTTGAATACTAAAACCATAAAACACTGCTGAAAGAAATTTAAAGACCTAAATAAATGAAAAGGCATTGTGTTAATACAACTGTGAGACTTAATGTTGAGATGTCAATACTACCCCAATCTACATATTTGATGCAATCCAATTCCTATCAAAATTCCAATAGCCTTCTTTGCAAAAATGGAAACCCTAGTCCTCAAATGTATATAGAATTGCAAGTGGTCCCGAAAAGTCAAAGTAATCTTGAAAAAGAACAAAGTAAGAGGACTCATACTTCATGACTCAAAATGAAGTACAATGCTACAATAATGTCTGGTATTAGTACAGTTAGAGACATACAGATCAATGGAAAAAGGAGCTCTAGTGGCACTGTGGATTAGACATTGGACTGCTAACCAAAAGGTTGGTGTTTCAAATCCAACAATTGCCCCAAGGGAGAAAAATGACGCTGTCTGATCTGAGGACATTGGTTTTGTTTCATTTATACCAATGGAATAGAATAGTGTGCCAAGAAATAACCCATGCATCTATGGTCAGCTGATTTTCGACAAGGGTGATAGGTCCATTCACAGGGCAAGATAAGTCTTTTCAATAAGTGGTGCTGGAACAACTAAAATTCCATAAGCAAAACAATAGTTAAGACCCTTACCTCATACCACTTACAAAAAGTAACAAAATATTCTGACTCACACTAACCCCATTTGTTTCAAAGTAGAACTGTGCTTCTATTGCAGACTTTTGGGAAGTACACTGCCAGGCTTTCTTACAAGGTGCCTTTAGGTGAACTTGAACCTCCAACCTTTCAGATAATAACTCAGTATGTTAAATCAACACTGGGTAAGCAACCAAAGGAACAAGTTACAAAAGACAAAGTAGGTACATTGGACTACAGAAAATGAAAAGTTTCTGTGCATCAAAGGACATTATCAACAAAGTGAAGTGACAACCTATAGAATGGGAGACACTATGGAAACCATGCATGCATATCTGATAAGGGTTTAATATCTAAAGAATATAAAGAACTCCTACAATTCAACAAAAAGACAAACAACCTATTCAGAACAATGACAAAGGACTTGAATAGATTTCACCAAAAATAAACCAATAGCTAGCAAGGGCATGATAAAATGCTCAAAGTCATTTAAAACACAAATCAAAACCACTAAGAGATACCACTTCATACTAAGATGGTGATTATAAGAAGAAAAAAAAAAAAGAGCTGGCAATCATGTGGAGAAATTGGAACTCTCATCCATTGTTGGTAGGATTATAAAATGATGCCACTGCTACGGAAAACATTTTTTATTTCCTCAGAAGATTGCATAAACATGGTATTGTAATCACTGCAATGAAACAAAATACAATAGGATGAATGTAAAGCTGGTGTTCTCCCATGTAAACTATCACATAATTCATATACACACACACACAAAAAAAGACTACAGCCCTGGTACACAACTTTCATGATTTTAAACCACTCAGTGTCATCTCGCTCTGTTAGAATGACTGCCTCTTGGTCTATGTACAGGTTCCTCATGAGCATAATCAAATGTTCTGGAATACCCATTCTTCGCAGTGTTATCCATAGCTTGTCATGTTCCACACAGTTGAAACACTTTGCATAGTCAATAAACCACAAGCAAACATTAAACAAATTAAAGGTTGCATAAAGAATTATTATATGACCAAGCAATCCTATTCCTAGGTATATACCTGAGATTTCAAAACATGAACATAAACAGATACTAGCATACCAATGTTCATTGCAGCTTGACTCACTATAGGCAAAACACAAAAGCAAGCCACATGTCCATCAACAGATGAATGGATAAACAAAATGTGGTCTATATTCATGCACAACTGAGTATTATCCAACCATAAAGAGAAATAAAGTTCTGATACACCAAAGACATGGATATACTCTGAAAATGCTGAAAAAAGGCAGACAAATATTTTATGATCTCAGTTATATAAAAAATCTAGAATAGGCAAATGCATAGACATCAGTTTATTAGTGGTTAGCAGGGATGAGTAGGAGGGAGAGAGGGGTCCCGAGTCTTTGTTAAGGTGATGAGTGTCAATGGCTGCACAACATAGAGAATGAATGTGACTAATGTCAACGGCTTGTACTGTAAAAAAGGTCAGAATGGCAAGTTTTTGTTATATTTTTATGACAAAAAGAAATAATAAAATTTGACAGACTTATATGAGGATAAGTAAAAAAAAAAAAAAGTACTGTTACAAAACCATAGAAGTAGGTCTTTATTAAACAAAATATCCAAATGTGAAGGTATTATCTCTCAGCCATTCTGAAGAAGGCCACAATAGATGGATCTTGGTAAAAGGGGAGAAAATGTGAAACAGAACTCAAATTCTAAATCTAGACTTAACTGGATCAGGTGTGACTAGGGGACTCAAGAGTATGGTCCTGAGGTACTCCATGAACTTTGGGCCAAAGCTACCCTGAAGTTAACTTTTAGCTAGATAACAAATTGACTCATAAAATAAATAGTACCACCAAGTACTGCACACACACAAAAATCATATATATAAGGCCACTGTTATTGTTAAGTGCCACTGAGAGGATTCCAAGTCATAGCAACTCTGTATAGGGTTTCTGAGGCTATGAATCTTAAGTATGAAAGAGTAAGGAAACGGTCAACAATTACTCAAAAGCAATGATGAAAGAACAAGAAAACCAGATTAGTAGAAGCTAAACATCCAGAATGGAATTAATGAGAACGCTGACATGTAAAATATAACCAACGTCAATGAGCAATTTGTGTTGTTAAGTGCCGTGGAATCAGTTTCAACACATAGGGACTCTGTATAGGTTTTCTGAGTCTTTATGCCTTTTGCAGGAGCAAAAGTAATTTAAAAATGGGAACCTAATTTGGGGTATATTGGAAGCCCTGATGACACAATGGTTAAAGTGCTCAGCTGCTAACTAAATGGTGGTTCAAACCTACCAGCTGCTCTGTAGGAGAATGATGTGGTAGTCTGTTTCTGTAAAGATTTACAGCAACAAAAATCCTATGGAGCAGTCCTCTTCTGTTCTATAGGGTTGCTATGAGGAGAATGAACTCGAAGGTAATGTGTTAACTTACTTGGTAATAAAATATAATTACTGTGTAATAAAATACTCATGATAATAAAATTTTTTAAGAAAATGAGAAAGACTTGGAAGAGGAGTCTGTCTTTTGGAGCCAGGGTCCCTGTGCTGAGAACCTCTGATGCCCAGGACACCAAGAGCTGTAAAACTGGAGACAGCACTATGGCAACAGACAGAAGACAGCAGCAACTAGAACTGATTGTTGTTATGATGTGCCGTGGAGTCGGTTCCAACTCATAGTGACCCTGTACAGGGTTTCCCGAGGCTGTAAATCTTGACGGGAGTAGAAAGCCTCATCTTTCTCCCGCAGAACAGCTGGTAGTTTTGAACTGCTGACCTTGCAGGTCACAGTCCGATTCGTAACCACTATGCTACCAGAGCTCCTTAGCCATATCTAATGGAAAGTGGAGTCCTATTGTGTGTGCCGGCATCCTCCAGGTTGTTTCATGCAGCACAAGTTTGAGATCTATGGCTCTACTTGATGGCTGTTTATGTCGTATTTCAAGGAGCCCTGGTGGCACAACTGTCAGCCCAAAGGTCTGCAATTTAAAGCCACCCAGCAACATTGCTGGATCAGCACTAGACTGCGAACCACAAGGTTGGCAGTTCAAATCTACCAGCTGCTCCTCGGAAACCCTATATAGGGTTGCTATAAGTCAGAACCGACTCGACAGTATCAGCTCTGCAGGAGTAAGGCCTGGTGATCTGCTCCGTAAAGATTACAGCCTCAAAGACCCTATGGGGACAGGTCTCTGTCACATGAGGTTGCTATGAGTTGGTGCAATATGGCTGTGGTGAGCTTCTTAGCCCATGGAATATAGAGCTTGAGCACCTTTAGGCAGGAAGATTGCTGGCAGTGGTAGGTGACTCTGGATATTTAATAGAAAACAGTTGTAACACTTGGCCAAGTAGGGGTCAGCAGCAGAGGCCAAGTCTGGGGGTGCTAGAGTGGGGGGTGGCCCAGACTGCAAACATGGCCTGCCTGTGGAAACAGCTGGGAAGTAGCTGAAAGCTTTCTTGTTGGAAGCTGTTCTGACTGACTGTCTCAAGTTGTTCCTATTGCTTCCAAGTTGATTCTGATTCCAAGCTGTAACCTGTTATTTCTCTAATACACCATATAATTGTGATTATAGTCTGCAAGTTGTTTTTGGTCGTTTCAACAAATTATCAAACCTACCAGATGTCATAGTGGTTACGAGTCAGACTGCTAATCTCAAGGTCAGCAGTTTCAAACTATCAGCGTTCTGAGGGAGAAAAAGGAGGCTTACTGCTCCCGTACAGATTTACAGCCTCAGAAATCCTATTCAGGGACACTATGAGTCGTAACCGACTCCATGGCACACAACCACCACTCATCTGTCAATCTGTCATACTGTGGTGGCTTGCATGTTGCTGCAATGCTGGTCCCTTGATTTCAAATGGTTGACAGCTTATCTTACTTTGGAACTAGGGAATAATTAAAAATCAGGAAGTGTATGCCAGAGTTGTAACCTTTCCCCATACTTATTCAACCTGTATGTTGACCTAATAATCTGAGAAGCTGGATTATATGACTAACATGGCATTAGGATTGCAAGAAAACTTATTATTAACAACCTAAAATATGCAGATGATACAATCATGGTTGCTGAAAGCAAAGCTGACTTAAATACTTACTGATGAAGATTAAATACTACAGACTTCAGCATGCAATGCACCTCAATGTGCGTCTTTGATTTATTGACTGCTGCTCCCATGAGTGCTAATGGTGAATCCAAGCAAAATGAAGTCTTTTCTCCATTTATCATATTTATTGCCTCTTTCAAATCTTTGATCCCTTCTACACCAGCAGTTTTAAAGCCAAATGCTTACTAATGTCCTGTAACTACTGTTCTTGGTCTTGCCCCAGGTTGCCAGCTAGAGGATTTTAAACAGCAGCAAAGAAAAAGATTCTGCTCTCAGACTTGTTCAGTAAAACCACTTATAGTCAGAATGCTAATATACATGTCATAGACGCTTAATAAGAATTAGGCTGGCCTATGAAAATGGATTCAGCATTGAATTTGTACTGTTGTTAGTTTCAGTCAATTCTGACTCCTACTGACCCTGTGGTCCTGTATCATCTCCCAATCCTTTATTACAAGTCCACTGTTGCAGCCACTGTTGTCAATCCGTCTTTTTTGTTGACCCTATACTACTTTACCAAACACATAAAGTCCTTCTCTAGGGACTGGCCCCTTCAGATAAGATGCTCAAAGTACATGAGACGTCTCTCCATCCTCGCTTCTAAGGAACATTCTGGCTCTACTTCTTCCAACACAGACTTATTTGCTCTAATAGCAGTTCATAATCTAGTCAATATTCTTCAACACCATAATTCAAAAGCATAAATTCTTCTTTAGTCTTCCTTATTTATTATCCAGCTTTCACACACATATGAGGCAAACAAAAGTACCACAGTTTGGGTCAGGCGCACCTAGTCCAGAAGGTTAGCATCTTTGCTTTCCGACATTCTGAAGGTCTTTTGCAGCAGACTATGAGCAAGTTTGTAATACAAGTACTGAAATAAATTCCAACCAAATTGCACAAGGTAAAGCGACAGCTTCTTATTTCCAATTTATAGATCTAACCTGGATGATAGCTCTTCAGCTTCCTTCTTGTAATGCAGCAACAGCTGATCCCAAGTATGACGCTCTGAAGAAAATCTACAGGATGAGAAAAAAGTGAACAGTCAATGTTCTCATGCTGAATCAATCAGGGCACCAGTAAGTATGATAGGTATATACTCTAGTTATAAGCTGTGAATAAAAAGATCATTAAAGGATTGGGAAGCTCTATTCAAATTATACAAAAGTAATTTAGTCAAATCAAACATGAGTTTTTAGAATGAAATTAACATCTTTATTTCCTAAACTGTAGTCTATGAAACTGGCCATCAAAACAGCTCATAAAATCCCAATAAAAGGCTTATAATTTTTAGTACTGATATAAACAAAACTCTGAAGGAACATTTACTATTTATTTTCCCCAGGTACAATTATTTTCTTTAGGTGGAGAATGAATTTAGATTCTCTCATTTTCACTTACTTTGCTATATATTTGTTCATCTCAACCACTGATGCTTCCAGAGACAAATCTGTTCCTTTTCTGAAATACAAACAGGATTATGAGAGTCGCATAAATCTTTCCAAAAGCATTTGCTTTTAATAGTATGATACCTACATAATATTAATAGCAGTAAAAAATGACCAGAATTTATCTTTCAACCTACATTGATCCTAGGATTCCATCTTACTTAAAAAAGAAACAAACAACTTTTTATGTGATTTACAGTTTACAGTTTACAGATCAAATTGGTTTTTCATTCAATAATTCATACTTTATATTCCGACTGATTGTAATCCCACCATTGTAACAGCACTCTTCCCAGTTCCTGTGTTTCCTGCTTCCATTTGTCCTCATTTTCTAACCTTTCCTTCCTGCTGAACTTTATCCTTGAGCAAATGCTGCTCTTCTGATTGCATACGACTGAACGCTTATCTCACTTTGGCACAAGGGAATAGTTTTCAAAATAGTCACTTTAAATCTTTTATTTCTCCCATCAATACCTAATTCACACCATGGCCAGATTAACGTCTATATACTTTTTTCTCTTGGCTTAAATACTCTTTGAGCCTATACTATACTCTTTGAGCCTATACTATACATAGGATAACCACTGGACTGCTAAACAAAAGGTCAATAGTTCAAACCCACTAGCTGCTCCTTGAAACAATATAGAGGGTCACTATCAGTTGGAACCAACTCAAAGAAACTCAACATGTACAGGATAAAGATGGAAGTCTTTAACCCTGGCTCTTAAGCACTCTGTATTCTGGCTCCACCCATCTCACTAACTTTGATTCCTCCTGTTACCCTCTACCCCTTCTGTCCCGTCATTCTACTCATCATCAGACCTTTAAATACCTGGGATTCCCAATCACCATATTTTTGTGCATATCATTTTTTTTTAAGTCTCTCATCCCATCTTTTAAGGTCTAACAATACTTTTTAATGATCTATCTTCCCTGAAGCTATCAGTGGGTAGGATTATATTTTACTTACATCAATGGTTCAGCTCAGTTGGGTAATTAATTCTAATGAAAAATAAGCAGGCACTGAAGATGCCAAAATATGGCAGATATATTCAAAACCTTACCTGGCAAAGGCAAATGATTTGTACCACCTTCCATTCATGCTTTTCTATTGAGATCTGTGAAACACACCTACACCAAACTCTGGCTCAGTCACAGCTAGTAGTCTAAACCTGCTGCATTAAAGAAATACTATGTTGAGCTAAAATACTTTTCATTCTCTGAATAGCAATGTCATCTAAGAACCTGTGCGAAAGTAGACTTGTGTGAAGTCAAAACTTCAAGTTTACGATGTGAGCTCAAGTGACATGAGTTGGTACAGGCTGAAAGAAGAGGTTTAGGGATGATAGCCCTGATGCTGTGGTGAAACTGCCAGTTAGGGAGTGAGGTTTTTAAACTGCTAATATTCTTACTCACCAAACAGCCAAAGGACATGAGCTTACCTTCAACTTACAAATGCTTTTCCCCTCATCTTTCCAGGATTGATTCCTCTTACCTCTCAGGTCTTACAGTCTCAGAACAACGGTAAAATCATTAAGAGGTCTCCCCTAACCATTAGCTAAAGTTGTCCACCACCCTCTAAAGTTACTAGTATCACTAGCTAAAATCATTATTGTCTACGTATTTGCTTACTGTCTCTCCTAATACAATGTAAGCTCTGTGAAAAGAGGGGATCTGTTTGTGACTTATTTATCACTATATTGCCAGTAGCTAGAAGAGCTTGGTACATATGAACTGCTGAAATGTTGGCTTTAGAACAGCAGTCTAATTATAATGAAACATCTTAATTCAATTACAATTTACAACAGAAAGGAAATTGCTCTTACTCTTTTGGTTTTTCAAAGCATTTTTGTAGAGTTCCATCACTTTCCAGCTTGTCTGCAAACTGTTTCAATTCCTCAGAAAGAGAAGATACTAGGGAAAATAAAATGACTTTTTATAAAGATATCATTTACTTTAGATGGCCTCAGCTTATGAACCTGTTACATTCTGGACCTCACTCATCCAAGAAAATGGTCTAACTGCAGAAGGGTTTTATTTTTCCTTGGTAGGTTGGATAAAATGGAAGACAACTCTTTATGGCACTTCTAATGTTTAGAAAGCCATTTTAAAAAGTCTGTCTGAATCTGACATTTCATTCTTTTTAAGAGATCCGAACCTATGGCACTAGAAAGGAGAACGTATTTACAAAATCCAATCAATAGGCAAGAGTGTAATGAGAAATGTAGAAGGCAAAGTCATGGGCGTAAGATGTAAATCAGTTTCTTCACAGACCTGAAGTGTCCACCATTACAATCAGGTAAAGAATGCACAGAGAAGGCTATGGTAACTAGCTGTCAAGAAAATTTAGACACATATATATACTATGTAGATGATGGTACAATTGTGAAAGACGCTATTTCAACTAGCAAGTCTGAATCATATTATTTTCTGGGTCTTTTAAATAGGTAACAATAGTCCTGACACTGAGGTGTTGTGTAGCTGCAATGTTAGCAGAAGTAACTCCTATCAAGAGAGGTGAAAACTAGGTAAGAATACTTGCAACTTTTATCACACACAGTTAATTTCCTTAATATATCAGAAATTCCTACAAACAGGAGCAATAAACACACAACTTAAAAAAATGAACAAAGGCTATGAATAGACAGTACACAGAAAATGAAGTCCATATGGCTCTTAAAAACACTGTAAAACACTTATTCTCTTTAAAAGAAAAAGGAACATAAGTTAAAACTACAAAATATCTGATACCACATATTGAATGGCTAAAACCGTACCCATATTGCTGGTGAGATAAGCTTTTGATAAAACCTCTATGGACAGCAATGTGGTCATTCCTATAATTTCAATTGACCTTGCTGCTGTTAGGGTCCATTGAATTGGTTCGAACCCATAGAGAACAAGAGCTGCTGGTGAGTCCAGTGTTTATCCCACAGCTCTAATTCCAGGAATTTATCATATTTTTATTTGTATATATGCCGCAGGAATTCATGGAATACAAATTGAAATCTTGCAACAAACTGATGTTGCAGTGGAGGTACTCATCTATGCCAAGAAATCTGAAAGACAGTTACCTGGCCAAAAGACCGGAAGAGATTCTTATTTGTGCTCATTCCAAAGAGGTAACCCAAGAGAACGCAGAAATCAGATAATATCATTAATTATCAGTGCCATATTCATCAAATGAGCACTTTAAGATCTATCTTAAGTACAATGCTAACTATGATAAGATAATGACCATCCACCTAAAAGGAAGACCAGTAAATAAGACTATTATTATTCAAATTTACACACCAACCACTGAAATCATCTACCAAATTCTTCAGTCTGAAATTGGTCAAACATGTAATCAAGATATATTAATATTACTGATGACTGGAATATGAAAGTTGGAAACAAAAAGGAAGGATCAGTAGTTAGAAACTATGGAAATGGTGCTGGAGATTGCCTAATAGAATTTAGCACGACCAATGATTTGTTCACTGCAGCAACCTTTTTTCAACAATATAAATGCAACCTGGACAAAACGCACAGGAATCAAACTGACTACATATGAAGGTATGTAAGACATGGAAAGAGATGATGGAGAAGCCAAAACAAGACCAGAAGCTGACTGTGGAACAGACGATTATTCATATGCAAATTCAGGCTAAAGCTGAAGAAAATTAAAACAAGTTCATGAGAGCCAAAATATGACCTTATATATGCCTCATCTGAATTTAGAGACCATCTCAAGAACAGACTTGATACATTAGACACTAGTGACTGAAGACCAGAGGTTTTTGTGGGATAACATCAAGAACAATCTCTGTTAAAAAAAACAAAGGGTCATTAAAAAGACAGGAAAAAAAGAAAAGACCAAGGTGGATGTCAAAAGACTCAAACTTGTTCTTGAGCATTGCTACTGTTAGGTGCTGTCAAGTGGGTTCCAACTCATAGCAACCCTGAATAGGATTTCTAAAGAGCAACTGGTAGAGTTGACCCACTGACCTTGTGATTACCAGTCTAATACTAATCCTACAGTGCCACACCAAGAACGTAGAGGAACTAAACCAACTGGAGGAAACGGTGATATTTACACTTTTTCATCAGTTTTGTTTAATGCAAATAAGAGCTGAACAGAAAGTTCCAAAGGGCAGCTAAGAAGGCAAAGTATATTATTATAATGAACTGTGAAAAGATCTGGAGTTAGAAAACCATGAGAGAAGAACAAATTCAGCATTTCTCAAGCTGAAAGAACTGAAGAGAAAATTCAAGCCTAACGTCAATATTGAATGATTCTATGAGCATAAAATTTAACGACACAGGAAGTATGTACAGAAAATGAGAAAAAAACAACAATAGTCACTGTAACAAAAAGAACTGATCAATGCTCAAACATTTTAAGAGGTAGCACATGATCAAGAACAGATGGTAATGAAGGAAGAAGTCCAAGCTGCAATGAAGACACTGGCAAAATAACAAGGCTCCAGGAATTGATGAAAAGCAAACTGAAATGTTTCAACAAAGTGATGCAGTACAGGAGGCACTCACTCATTTGTGTCAAGAAATATGGAAGACAGCTACCCAGCCATTCAATTGGAAGAAATCTGTACTTGTGCCCATTTCAAGGAAAGGTGAATCAACAGAATGCAGACATCATCAAACAATATAATAGCACACGGAAGTACAATTTTGCTGAAGATAATTAAAAATCAGTTGCAGCAGTACATCAACAGAGAAATGCGAGAAATTCAAGCTGGAATCAAAAGAGGATATGGAAGAGGGATATCATTGCTGACTTCAGAAAGCAGATAATACCAGAAAGATGTTTACTTGTGTTTCATTCACTATGCAAAGGCATTCAACTGAATGAGTCATAACATTGTGAAGAATGGGAATTTTGGAACATTTAAATATTCTCATGAGTAACCTGTACATAGACCAAGAAGAGGCTGTGGTTAGAACAGAGTAAGGATATACTGGGTGGTTTAAAAATCAAAAAAGGTGTGTGTCAGCGTTGTATTTTTTTCACCATACTTATTCAGTCTATATGCTAGCAAATAATCCAAGAAGCTGGATTATTAGAAGAAGCAGAACATGGCATCAGGATTAGAGTAAGACTCATTAACAACCTGAGATATGTAGATGACACCTTATCTGAGGACTTAAAATACTTACTGGTGAAGATCAAACTCTACAGCTTTCAGTATGGACTGGACCTCAATATAAAAACAAAAATCCTCAGAACTGGACCAATAAATAACATAAGTGAAAAAAGACTTCATTTTGCTTGGATCTATAATCAGCGCTCATGAAAGTCATGAATTGATATACTGCATTAATCTGATATAAAAGTGTAAAAATGGCACTTGGAGGATTAAGATGGACCTGACTCTAGCCATGGCATTTTCAATTGCCTCGTATGCTTTGAAAGTTGGAGTGAATAAGGAATAGCACAGAATTGATGCATTTGAATTATGGCGCTAATGTTGAATCATTGAATATACCATGGACTGCCAGAAGAACAAACAAATCTGTTTAGAAGTAATCAAAATGCTCCTTAGAAGCCAGGATGCCACAACTTCACCTCTTGTTCTTTGGACATGCTATCAGAAGGAACCAGTCCCTGGAGGACTAGTACTGTAGAGTGTCGGTGACAAAGAGGGAAACTCTCAACGAGATGGACAGACATGGTGGCAGCAGTAAGAACTCAAACATAACAGTTGTCAGAATGGTGCAGGACCGGGCAGTGTTTCATGCTGTTGTGCAAAGGGTCGCTATGAGTAGAAACCAACTAGAAGGCGCCCATCATCATTAACGTAAGTATCTAGGCAGTTCTATATATGGAATATGGAACAATCTCCAAGATAAATTAGATGTTTAAAAAAAATCAAACTTGCATGCTGGGCTAAATGGGACAGAGATAAATAGTGTTGTATGCTCAACCTTGAACAAACGGCACAGTCTGAAGAGGAGAACTAATACTACGATGCTTGACTTTCCTTGCCTACTATTGTAAAACAGACACTTGAGTGGTATAGAAAGGAATGTCTAGAGTGTCTTCTATACACTTGAATGGTATAGAAAGGTATAGAAACATGATTTGAGAAAGCCTGTAAGCCTGTCTTCAGCCTATAACTGATTAGAATACCTAAAAGGGGTTCTAGAACTTGTCCAGTGAAATAAGCTTCTTGTGGAGCCTTTGTAGTGTATAGGACCTTAGGTGGAATCCTGAGTCCTATCCAGAACCTTCTGAGGTGGGACATTCCCACTAGAAAGGACAAGCAGACTAGCCAGAGCAACAGAAGATACTTCTTGAAAGAAAGATCAGCAGGAAAAATCCAAAACAAAAATAGCAGTCTGATTAGCTACTATAAGAACAAGTAAGTGGTTTGCCAGGAAGCCATCAAGGCAAGCAATTAAGTCTCTTCAGGGCCAACCCTGCTCCAAGACTGAAACTTAAAGGGAACACAGGAGAAATCATGTTAGCTTGCTGGAGACCACGTTGGTCTACTGGTAAGGGAAGAGGGGGAAAGGCAGAAGTGAAAAAATGGGCTGAGTTCAACCATGGTCCACAGACTCCCGTTGACCTGGAGATGCGAGAAAGAAGAGAAAGTACAAAGTATGGTAAGACCTCAGGACTCCTGAGCCCACAAACAAGGACAAAGCCACGGAAGACTAGAGCTGAGAGTGAAGCATTCAGCTGATATGAAGTGAGGGGAGATGCCCAAGAAAGCCCAAACTTGCAGATAGTACCTATCTGACCTAGCCTCAATGGCTTGATGATCAGAACTTGACTATAGGAAGATAAAAAAAACAAGTTTTGACAAAGGAAATGAGGGTAAATTGCTACAATTTGATGAACTTGACCTATACTTATGGATGTAGAAGCTCAAACTACCAACTGAAAGGGAAGGAGTCTTCACATCAAGTATCAGTGCTATACAATGCTATCTATCTCTGTATACAAGGTAGATAGAGACAGGCAAGTTAGACACTGGCTACCTAAAATGAGGGGGCGATAAAGGCACAAAGTGACTGGCTTACAAGTTTTCAAGAGGGAGTTTAGTTTAAGAGTGTGTGGGGAAAGGTAAGAGTCCCCACTGAATAGTTTTCACCTTGCCTAGATGAGTCTGGTAAAAAAAGATGGGGATGAGATTCTTATGATTCAATAGTGAGTGACTGTTATTAAGACTAATTGTGGCTGTCACAACTGTAAAGATAGAAGCTTTGTAACAAAAAGGAGGAAGTAGTTAATCTTACAGTCCAGAAACAGAGGACCCTAGGAGCATCAAGGGAGAAGTACACGAGTGGAATGTGGGACCCTATCCAGAAAGGCAGCGACACCAGAGATGGAGGCAGAGATGGGCATGGAGAGAGGGAGCAGCTGAGGACTCTAGACTCATGGAAACAGAAAGGTTGTGCACTGGCAGCCAGGAGGGAGGCAAACAGAATGTGCTGTTTTGTTGTTTAAATGATTCCTGAGTGTTTTTGTGTACATCCCCACCCCACCCCACCATCCAAAAAAACCAAAAACAGGGAATGGAAGCAAATACTGTTGAATGATGATGCACAGAGGGGATTGTAATCATTGCAGTAAAATGATGAGTGCAAAACTGATGTTCTCCTATGTAAACTATCAATTAATTCACAATAAAAACTTAAAACACACAGAAAAAACATGCATGCAATTGATTTAAAAATTATAAGAACATTTGCAAATGCAATCTCTCTGAAAGAGAACATTACAGCACTACAACACCATTACAACAGAAACTGGTGGCTTTGATTTCCTCCTGGGAAAAGAACTAAGACTGCATGGTCAAGGATAGGAGAGGTTTAAACTTTTCATCCTTCTACTTCTGAAATTATACCATATATTCTTACTTTTAACAAGTAAGGATGGGGATCTGGCAAGTTTCCTTAAGAGATCCACCCACCATCAAATCACACTCATCCACTTGAGAAACTTACCTTTGGCTCTGAAACGTTCAAGACTGAATCCCTCTATGTCCTTTAGGAAAGGTTCCAGTTTCTGAACAGAGAACTTAGGAAAAACAAACAAACAAAAAACACTTCCAGCACAATCAAGAATTTTAAGGCCAGTTCTAAGTTCATGTAATTTTGTAATGCTTAAAAGTCCTGGTGTGGTGCTGTGAGTTAATGCGCCAGACTGCAAAGCCATTTGAACGGCAAGGTTGGTGGTTCAAGCTCATCAGCTGCTCCTTGGAAACTCTATACAGGGTTGCTATGGGTTGCAATGGACTCGACAGCACTTAACAACAATGTAAAGGAGCTCGGGTAGCATAATGGTTACAAATCGGACTGCGAACCTTAAGGCCAGCAGTTCGAAACTACCAGCCGCTCCGCGGGAGAAAGATGAGATTTTCTGTTCCCGTAAAGATTTACAGCCTCGGAAACCCTGTACAGGGTCGCTATGGGTCATACTGACTCGACGGCACTTAACAACAACAACAAAGCTGAACATGATTTAATTTTTGTATCTAATAAGCATTTTCATATACATGCAAATCCCCGGACTATGAATGAGTTATGTTCTTACATCTGTTTCTAAGTTGAATTTGTACCTAAGACAAAACAATTAGGTATGCTTTATATCTAATGTTAGTCGATTGTCTTAGTATACTTTGTACCTTTCTATAAATAAAAACATAAAAAACACTAACGACCCTATATAAGTTTCAAAAGATCAGCTGGTGAGTTTGAACTTCCGACCTTGTAGTTCAAACCAGCCATGCAGTCCAGCACATTAACCCACAGCGCCACAGCAGAGCTCCTAATAAACTGATGGATACACTAAAACATCTTTAACATAACATACTAATGTTTTGGTGTGCATCGCAAAGTAACATCCATTTGTTGTGAACCACTGTATGTACTTTGAATTTTTAATATTAATAGGTTTTACAGGGGGCTGGTTCATTAACTATAGTTTGTATGTAAATTGGTCATCACCCAGGGGCTGCCTATAAACAGACAGGTAAGAACTCTTTGTTGATCAGACCATACATTTAAATTTTTAGTTCAGGTAAAAACAGCAATCATTTAATTCATACAAATGACCTGCTGTGAGATTGAGTTTCTTTACCTCAGGTGGTATGGCCTTTGTCCCAGCCTCTGTGAAACAATACTTAAGAGTAGTTGGGTTACACTGGCCACATCTGAGAGTTTGTGTTAATGAATGGGCATCAGTTTATGTGCCATCCTGGTAACCAATGATTGTGTGAGCTAGCTCATGAAAGCCTACAACACAGAGATTTGACAAAGCTTCCTGGGGCAAGGATGCTCTCGGCTTTGGGGACCTTTCCAAGGAAAGCCTTGCTGAGTGCCTCTTCATGTTCCTCCCAAACTGTACCCTGTTATTCCTGACTGTTCATGTTTTAAGTAACTCCCTTACTCTAATAAACCATGTAAAATGTCCACATTAATTTCCACCACTATAAATTCCCACTATTTTCTGCCTGGTGAATCGGTGAGCTGCTCAGTTAGCGTCAGCAGCAGCCACCACCAGAAGAGCACCAGCACGCTAAAGCACAGCACTCAGTCCAGATAGAAATCAGTTGGTGGGATTCAATCTTGCTTTTAAATTAATCCCATTTAAGGACAACCATCTTTAATCTTACCAGTGGTATCAATTTCTGTTTGGGGCTGTGACCATGAATTTTTATTTAATAAAAAAGCCACCCAAGGACAAAGTTCAAAATTCAGAAGGGTTAGGAAAGGAGAAGGGATGGAAACAGGAAACACAGGAAGTGGGATAACTGACATTATCTTGAGGGGACTGTGATCAATGAGATGAAACATTATGTACCAATTTTTCAATGTAAAACTGATATGTTCTTTAAACCCTTACCCAATTCACCAAGTTTCCTAAAAAATTTTTTAAAAAGAAAGCATTTCCGGTTTGCAGGGTATACCCTTTGGTTGGTTGATGATGCATGGATGGGATTGTAATTATGGCAATGAAATGCCATATGATAGGATGAATGTAAAGAAAGTGTTCTCCCATGTAAACTATCACATAATTCACAATAAAAACTTAAAAAAAAAAAACCCAGAAAGCACTTCCAAGTCTCAAGCATCTTACCTGAAAACTGGAAAGCAGGAGAACGCCAAGCCGTTTACTTTCTGCTAAGTTGACACTGATGGATCTGCTGAGCGCTAACATAAAATATTACATTAACCAGATGGATACTTAGACACTTAGCAAAGTGACAAAACTAGAAAACTTCCTCCCTCTTGATGCAGTCTAACTTGAGACAAAAATGCCCAAGTAGCCCTCCCTGGTTAAAGGGAGAATTCATATAATTACATCTAATTCCTTCCGAATCACCAAGGAATGAAGTTCACCCATCTAAGACTCCAAACTTTGAAAAACATTGTATTACATTAAAATCTTGTATTGCTAAACAAAATAGATTTAAAATAACCCCAAAACAGACTTTTTCTTGATGATTCACTTTCACCAATTTGAGGGTGATGGGAACAGTTGAGCATTTTTATGACTGGCACTTGGGTGCTTTAGATACACTGTCTTACTTAAGAGTCTTTTAATAAACCCTATGAGTAAGTATTATTAAGCTATTTTACAGATGAAGAAACTGAAGCTCAGAGGGCAAATGACATAGCTGAAGCCTGGGATTAGTGCAGCCTGAATGCAAACCCAAAGTCACCAAAATCTGTACTTTCCCCCCTAAAACCATGCTGTTTCTCTATGTTGTCAAGTACTGTGGAGATGGCTCTGACTCATAGCGACCCTGCAGAGGGTTTCCAAGGAGGAGCTGGTGAGTTGAACCACCAACCTGTGGTTAGCAGTCCAGTGCTTACCCTACAGGGCCACACCAGCTGTTTCTCTATAATGACCTAATAATAGTATTGATATGATTTGTGACTGTTCGCTGTATAAAAGGCATTTTATTAAATGCTTTACACACATCTCATCTCATTAAACATTGAAGCAATTACTCTTAATTCCATTTTACTGATGAAACTGAGGCACAATGGCCAGGTAATAGGTAAACAGGTAACTTGTCTAATGTAACATAGTGAGCGATTAGCCTGAATTGGATGGTCTCCAATATACATTTTACATAATTGTCACTGAATCTTCAAACTCCAGGAATTTTCTTTTTTAAATCATCTCCATTTAAATAGCTCCAGTTATTATATCGCAAAAAGAGTTTGCTTTAAGACTATGACAGATAACTTTTTTGCCCTCTAGCCTAAGCTGGCTTTGTTTTTACCATTCTTGTCTTCTCCCTTAACTCATTGTTATAAGTCAAGAAAAGCAGGATAACCAAGGAAACCTTGTAGGTAGCCAGGAATAACCAATCTTACTACATCTGTGACTTTCCACTATTCAGAATTCTAACTCTATATGCTTTACAATGGTAATGGAGGGAGAGGTCATCTTAGGGAATTGCTGATGTCTCCTCGGCACTTCTATGGAGTAAACTACATGGGTACTGTGGCAGCCGTTTTCTGACATGCTAAGTAACTGTTTTCTTCCAGACTTACTTCTACACATCTGGTCACCTGAAATGAGGTGATACCTTAAAAATATTACAATAGCTAACATTTGTGGCTTTAGTCTATGCCAATTATTATGTTATATATCAATTCATTTAATTCTCACATAACCCTGAGTGATATGTATCATTACCATTCCCAGTTTGTAGATGAGGGCCTTAAGGCAAAAGAGGCTAAGTAAGTCACACCGTAAGTTCTTTCTGAAATGCACTAGACTTTTCACATTGTATCATGTAGTTAGATCCTGATATACAGTTAAGTTGCTACAGTAAATTCATACAAATTACATTGAAATATAGCATCTCTAAAACCTAAATTTTTTCACTCCAGATATTTTTATGTGTATCTTCCCACTGACATATTTTCAGTTATAAAGCCTAAAATCAAATACCAACCTAACCACCTTCAGTTCTACTACAGGGTATCATAGGATGAGGCAGAAAGCCACAGGAAGGAATCTTTAATGCCTCTCTCTGATCCTAGCAGAGAAGAATGTTGGACAATTATAAATAACAATTTCTATAATGGTATAGAGTACAATGGGCTACTAAAATGATTTAAACAGCGATGACACAAAACACTCACTAGGTGTTTTACATTAGTACTTATAATCTTAGAATACTCCCCACAAGATGGTTAGTATTGTCTCCAATTTACAGATGAGGAAACTGAGGCCCAATGAGTTCACAAGAAGCAATTTGCTCAGTCATGTAGCTAATAAGTAACAAAGTCAAGTCTAGTCTCCTATGCTCCTTCAGCCATACCTCACTGCCTCTTATCTGAGCTGGAACTTCAAGGTCTTACTCTGTAGATAGCACCCCACCTGTGATGCCCGGGTGAAAAGGAGGTAGTGACTTCCGCCGGTTCATTCCTTTCATACTTGCTCGCCGCCAGGATTGCCTCCTGCCTTCAGGATGGACAGACTGTTTGGGGAAGAGCAAATGAAGGGACCTGGACTCAAGTCCTTCCTGGTGGCTAAGATCACAATATCCCTCTTTTGCAGGGCTAGAGCCAAGATGAATTCTTTCCTTTGAAATGCTCTGTGTTGTCATCTCCAGGGAGGCTGATGATTTAGCACACACATCCACAATGTTAGGAGTTGATTTCAACTGACGATCATGAGTCACAGACATCACTGGCTCCTCTTCTAGCACTTGTTAAAAATACAAAATCAAATCCATCACAACAAAGTATCTGCAAAAAGGTGGTATACAGGTGCCCATATCGTGGAAATACTGAGGAAGCATCTCTGCAAGCACAGGAATGCAATTCCAAATCTACCAAAAGCCAGAAAGCCTGAACCCAAGAGGCAAAAGCTACTACAAAACTTACCTTCAACTGTCTCTGATGCAGTCACTGAAGTCATCCTGGGCTGAGATCCCTGAGAATAGGAAAACATGTTGATCAGAGGTCAGCCCCTGACCTCTTCAGCATCTCTGAACTGCTCACCTCACATCAACCATCTGTCTCATGAATTTCTACCTGCCTGACAAGATCTAGCACAGGAATGGAGAACCTTTTCTCTGACAAAATTTATAACATCATTTGCCAGCCATACAAAACTATCAAATCAAAATTATGCGCTTGCTCTATTTGGTAAACATTTAATGAACTTCACTCCTAATGGGATGGCTGGAGTCCTGGTGTGGCACTGGGGGGATAATGACTAGACTGCAACATCGGCGGTTCAAACTTACCAGCTGCTCCTTGGAAACCCTTACACAGGGTAGCTACTCCACGGCATTTAACAACAATGTAACTGCTGGAACAGCAGCTACCTTGGCAGGGCCAGACGAAAGGATTCGAGGGCTAAGGCTCCTGCGGACCGACGTTCCCCACCCCTGCTCTAACACAATCCCATCTCTCACTTCTCCGCAGAAAACATCAAAGGTCATAACCTACTCTGAACTTCTACACAATTTATATCTATGATTGCACATAGCTCCCTTAACATTATTTTTGCTTCCCTCCCAATTATTTTGTGTTGAAGGAGCTCTGGAGGCGCCGTGGTTTAAACGGTTGGCTAAATTTTCAGCCCTTTATCAAACAGATTCAAGCGTGGATGAGCACCGCACCAACTGTCATTTGTAACGGGTCAGAAAGGACTTGTGCCAAGTAAGCAAAGTGGTTTATTTGAAGTATTATCGCATTAAATCCTTTCCACAATTCCATGAGATACTCCATTTGGCAGAGAACGGAACTAAGGCAAAAAGGCTTGGCTCAAGTTGCTATGCAGTCACACTGGGAAAGGTGGAATTCGAACCCAGGCCTCAATCAATGCGCAGGTTCTACAAACCGACCCCGTGCGCGAAGGGCGGCTTTCTTACCCAGGAGGAGGCTTCAACGCCTCCGGGGAACCGGGAGAAGAAGGCGCGGATCTGAGTTGATCCGACGCCAAAAACGCTCTGGCGGGAGTGAGCGGGGTCGTGTTGGGGAGATGTGTGCGATTTTCTGACCTTACAGTTATTCCCGTTCAGCTCAGAGAATCCGTTTCTGAAACAAAAGCCGAAGGTTACTTTTTCCGGGGCCACTGCGGTCGCTGCTCCTGAGTCCTGTTGCCGCGCTCCGCTTTCCTACGCAGTCAATGCCACCGCTTCCGAAACTCCCCGCCAACCAAGGGCGCATGCGCAGCCACCAGAGCAAGCGCAAAGCTGATTTACTCCAATGCGCATGCGCAAAGTGGTGGGCCGCGCTCCTTCCAGCCCCACTCCTTCATCCAAGGCCTAACTGATACCTACACGGACACGTCACGCGTAATTGTGCAGTCCCATCCCAGTACTCATCTAAAACAGGAAAACAAGGACCTTGAGAAATACTTGCCCAAGGAAGTATAATTAAGCCTCAGGTTCCTGATGCCCGCCTCGTAGCTCAGCAATGCCCTCTCCCATCGCTTTAAATCCCAAAGTGTGGACAGTGACTTTCCCAGTGTGGTTTAAAGCTCCAGTTAGTTTCAACCTTCTGTCACTCCTGCCTTAGGGCTTTTTCTCCTGTAACCCTTTATGAGGAGTAATGGGCAGGATAATGCACTGGACCGCAAGGTCAGTTTGAACCACAAAGTCAGCGGTTCAAACTCACCACCAAACTATACAAGTCGCTATGAGGAACCAGCGCGACGTCATTTAACAACTCCTTATGAGGGAGGCCTGGTGGCACTGTGGAGTAAGCGCTGGTCTGCTTAGCAAAGGTGGGAAGTTCAAACTCAGCAGATGCTCTTGTGGAGAATGATGAGGCTATCTACTCCCATAAAGTTTTGTTGTTGTTAGATAGTGCAGAGTGGGTTCTGACTCATAGCAACACTATGCACAACATAACAAAACGCTACCCAGTCCTACGTCATCTTCACTCAATCTTTATGATTGGAGCCCATTGCTGCTGCCACTGTGCCAATACATCTCATTGGGAGTCTTCCTCTCTTATGCTGACCCTCCACTTTACCAAACATGATAGCCTTCTCCAGGAACTGGTCCCTCTTGATAACATATCCGAAGTATGAGAGACCAAATATCATCATCCTGGAGCTGGCTGTACTTATTCCAACATAGATATTTGTTCTTCTGACAGTCCATGGGAGACTGTCTCAGAAACCCTATATAGACTCGCTGTGAGTTGAAATCCACTTGATGACAGATGGATTTGGTTTTCTGTGTTTTGATGGACCCTTATGGAGCCAGGTTGGTGGCACAATGGTTGAGCGTTAGGCTGCCAAAAGAAGTGCCTGCTCAGGGGAATCCAAGTGAGGCAGTCTGCCTGCATTAAGATTTATAGCTTTGGAAACACTATGAGAGCAGTTCTGTGCCCTGTAGAGTGTCAGAATCCACTTGAGTGGTTTGCTTTTGTTTTCTTTGAGGTAACTCTTTATTACACTGACAGGCTTTGGTGGTGCTGTAGGATAAGCACTGAACTGCTAACCACAAGATCAGCAGTTTAAACCCACCACCCACTCCTAGGAAACCCTACAGAGGGTCACTGAATCCAAACCAACTCCACAGCACTTAGCAACAATATGGACAAAGTTCTAGAACCCTCCTTTCCAGTCTTTTTGAATGACTTGTCTCCAAACTGCTTACAGCTCCTCTGACTGTCCCACATTGCTTGTAGCCTCTGCTCCTTTGGCTTACGTAGTTCCCGAGCCTGGAAATCCCATCCCTGGTTTTTAAGCCTCAGCTTGAGGAATCACCTCTCTCGGAGTTTTCCCTGAGGACCCAGACTGAAACACCTCTTATTGTTCCCAGAAGCCCTCCCTGCTCCACTGTTCCGTATCCTCCTGTGCATCCCCGGAGAGCAGGCTACGTTCTCAGCACCCCAGCATGGCACTATCAAAATGTCCCCTTGCAGACCTGAAATCTCCACAGATTGAACTAAGAGTAGACCGCAGTGTTTGAAGTGAGGGTTTGGGAACATGATTGGTTATCTGCCATAGTAGCTATGATTCCTGGCAAAGTCTTCCAATGAGAGGCAGGAATCTGCCTTCTTGAAATTTTCACCCTGAGGTTCCAACAGAAATCTGAAAGCAGAGATTTGCTCATGGTTTGCTGAATATCAGGGCTCAATTGTACCCAGTTCCTTTTATACCCAACTTCTCTTTCCATTCTTCATTTGTCCCAAGAACAGAACAGTGTTTCCAGGCAGGGCTTGCCTTTCTGGGATACAAAGAATATTGCTTCACAGATATGTTGTTGTTGTTGTTGTCATGTGCCGTGGAGTCGGTTCCGACTCATAGCCACCCTGTACAGGATTTCTGAGGCTGTAAATCTTTATGGGAGCAGAAAGCCTCATCTTTCTCCTGCAGAACAGCTGGTAGTTTCGAACTGCTGACCTTGCGGTTTACAGCCCAATTCACAACCACTATGCTACCAGAGCTCCTTCCAGATATAGACCCTACTATATTTTCCAACTATGTCCTTTTCCTGCTTTGGATTCTTCCATGTTTCCCTACTGTCCACAGGCTATATGTTATTTGCTCATAAAGCATCCGGTGATCTGACCCAGCTGCATTCCTAAGTCCCCTAGTTCTGATTTGCTCTTTTGCTACTAGTGATGGTGGTGGTGTGCTGTGGAGTTGCTTCTGACTCATAGTGACCCTGCATAGGCTTTCCAAGGCTGTAAATCTTTACAGGAGCAGAAAGCCTCATCTTTCTCCCAAGGAAAGACTGGTAGTCTCCAACCGCTAACCATGAGGTTAGCAGCCAGACTCGTAACCACTAGCTACCAGAACTCCTTCTTTTTCTACTAGATTTTCACAAGGGCTGCTCCCTCTTCCTAGAACTATGTCACCTAAGTCCTCTGCCTTGTAACACATGATCATTCTCTTCCTCTGGCTGGCATCTCAATCTTAGGCCTCAGCTCAGATGTCCTATCCTCCATGAAGCCTTTCCTAATTCTTCTGGGCTCCTCTAGCACCCTGAGCTACTGCTACTCCTTACCATTGACATTTCCAGACCCATCCATTTAATCTTCAGTGACTAGCAGAGGCCTGACTGCTGCTGAGTTCCACCTCATAGCAACCTTCTATAGGGTGTTGGAGGCTGTAAATCTTTGCAGACTTTCTAGCATCATCCTTCTCCCACGGAATGGCTAGTGGGCTTGAACCAGCGACCTTGTGGTTTGCAGTCCACAAAAAAAGAGAACTATAAAAAAAGTATCATGTGATTGCCACTTTCCATGATGGCCCCCCAAAGACCCTTGCCTTCTGATGTTCATGACCTCCCACACTAAATAGGATGATACATACAACCAATAAGAGATTATAGACATTATTATTGTTAAGTGCTGTTGAGTCAGTTCTGATCCACAGTGACCCTGCATAAGGTTTCCAAGGAGAGACTGGTGAGCTTGAACTGTCAACCTTGTGGTTCACACTGACTTTGCAGTCTAGTGCATTAGGCCACAGTGCCACACCAGGACATTATGGTTTCTGCTTTGCTCTGGAGGAAGTCAATTGCTGTTTTGTAAGAACACACAAGTAGCCTTGTGAGAGAGCCCACCTGGTGAGGCACTGAAGCCTCCTGCTGACAGCCAGTACGGACTCACCATGAGTCTTCAGATGACTGCAGCTCTAATCAACATCCAACTGGAACCTCATGAGAGAACTATCTAGTTCCTGAATTCCTGGCCCATAACACTTATGTGAGATATTTTGTGGTAAATAATTGCACTGCATTAGATTACTAACACATGCCTAAAGTGTCCTTTTTTTGCCATAAATTTTTTAAGCCTTATATGGAAGGTTCACTCCATCTTTCTTTTTGAGCACGCTGTATTTTTTTCCCAACCGTCATAATCGTACTTCACTGAAGACTCTAAGGTGTCAATAATCAGCTGACGGTGGCACTCCCGGATACCCCCACTTCCCAAGCAGCCAGGTGT